CCTATGGAATGGAGCACAACATTTTATATTTCTTCTTCAAACCTGGATGAAGGAAAAACAGAAAACGCGAAAACGGGAACCCAGCTGAGTTCAAACCTTTAAAATTTGTTGAGACAAATAGTGAAATCCCAATACAAAATATATCTAAAAATTTTGTAATCAATATTCTGTTTGGTTGTTTACTGTGAAACCCACAACTAGAAAAATGTGAAGGAAATATATACATATAAAATCCTTTATAAAACCAGACCAGGGTGGGGACACCTCAAAGTCTAATAGCTGAAATAGCTACAAGTTCGAGTGGAACCATCGACATCTGCACACGAATAAATAAATAGTTGGAATGTATTCAAAACTTTGGCTAGGAAGTAATCTTCTTTCTACGATTTGTGTAACGATCACAAATCGTGGAGTAATTCTGTTATAAAAATGGTGATGTAGCTGTTGGTTTAACGCCATTGATCAGCGTAAGAATGGCGGACAGTCAATAAAACAGTGAACAGCTATTTTTTTTGCTCGGTACAATAGCCGTGTATAGATGGATACTTGAAAGTTAATTCATTCGAAAATATTTCCACAGAAAGCAGTTAAAATTTCATTCAGTCGTTTTGCTCTGAAAAGGTTATAGTTTGTTAATTTTGAAAAGAAAACGGACATATGTGCGTATAGACAGGCAGGTGAGAAAAAGTCTAATTTTTCTCCTTTTCAATGCAACAAGACGAAGCAACACATTCGAATAGGACACTCTGTGAATGATGAACATAATAACGCAGACGAAGACAGACAATAAGCACACAGATCATGAAAAGGGTACAAAAATTCCTGACAGCTTCCTCAAGCAGGTTAAGCAATAGCTGCCATCCTGAATACCAGTATGAGCAATCGATACTTATTTGTATAGGGAAATGAAATGATAAATATTCTATTAGGAAACTCTAAAGTACTGTCTTCAAGAAATATCAGAAAACCTCTTTTGCTGCACCTAGGTAATACGATTTGTTTTCTTTTTTCGTAACAAACTGCGACTAATACCTTTGAAATGGTTATTTCATCTCAAATATCAAAGATTGACACAAGATATGTAAATGTTCCTTAAATAGCGATGCAATTGCCTAATCTGGCAAGAAAATTACGTGACGAATAAAGACTAATAAATCTCATTGTCAATAGGCAACTATGAATTCCATGAAGCATCTGAGGTAAGCGTTATTGGTGAGAGTTAATTGAAGACGAATCCCACGCCAGTGTTCTTTAAAGGGAGTTAACTAAAAGATGAACGTCAGACCAGTGTCCTTTGTGGGAGCTAATTAAATGGAACTCTCAGGTCAGCGTCCTCTTATGGGAGTTAATTAAAGAGTATTCTGATAATAGTTTCCTTTATGAGAGTTTATTTAAGAAGATTGTCAGGCCAATGTTCTTTATGGGAGTTAAAGATGAATGTCAGCCCGAGTCCTTTGTTGGAGTTAACTGAAAATGAATCTCAAGACAGCGTTCCTTAATGGAGTTAATTAAAGATGAATCTCAGGCCAGTTTCCTTTATGGGAGCTAACTTAAGGCGAATATCAGTTCCACGTCTTTTATGGGAGCTTATTAAAGAGGAATCTCATGACAGATTTTTTTTATTTGAGTATATTAAAGAGTTTTGATTCCAGTTAAAGGAAATAACTTAATTGTTAACGTATACATATATAAATTACATCAAAACGTATACATATATAAATTACATCAATCTGTATAGATTAATTTTGAATATTGTCTTACCGAGTCGAGACATTGGTCATGGCTTGATGGACGGTATAACAAAAAATACAAGTTGCAAACAATCGGTACAGAAGAGTTGACATGTGTTAGGGATTAAGTGAAAAACAGCAACAAATAGACAGCACCATACAAAAATTTCCATTTTGCTTTTCGTGGAACCGAAACCAATGCACCGTGGTCATGTAAAGGGTTCATTCTTCTTTCTAAATTTTTTGCGTTGGAAATGGACAGTAAGCTGCAAAATGAGACATGCAAAACGTTGTAATTTGACAAGTCCAGTAATACTATATATATATATATATATATATATATATATATATATATATATATATATATATATATATATATACATATATATATATATATATATACATACATATATACATACATATATATATATATATATATATATATATATATATATATATATATATATATATATATATATATATATATATATATATATATATATATATATATATATATATATATAGTGAGCTAGAATATATCACATTTGCTGTTTTATTTTTTTGTCAGTCAGTCTAAGTAGGATATCACAAACGCGCTCCAATAGCTGAATAAGCCAAAGGCATCCAAAATATTGGTCAGTTGAGTCCACGAACCGATGGAACCATACTTAGATTTGATTGTTGATAAGACGGTATACAAACTTTCGATCTTCAACAAACAACGGTTTGGAGTGACATCACATTTGATAGTGCATGACTTTTGGGATGAGACGATCATGAATATTTACTGAAAGTAGTTCCATCTATCCGACAGGTGCGTGAGATTAAGTAGCTTACACCTGGCACATCTCATACATTATAAATACCAAATTCAGTTACACTTGTCATGCATGTAGCCATAATTGAGTCCACTTAGCACGGCACACCTTATAAATCTGCCTTTGTTCGTTATATCAGCATGATAGTAATAGATTTACTCCTTTATAATCCTATTGCTATCTTAATAAGTACCACGATTTCGGTATCTGCAGGATCTCGCTCTCCAAAACGAATATCACCTGATTTAGAAACCTGACATCGTCACAACAGTGCTCTTACAGAACGTTTAAGCTATAAACATTATATTAAGCTCTAGTCGTATGAAAAGATGTCACGAAGATCATGACTTTCAAAATCCAAATAATTGCATTTAGACGTTGTTCGTTAAATATTTGAAGAATATTTTAAACAAACCGTTTTGTTGTTTTCCTTGTTGTTTATATTGAATTAAACCGTAATTGTAAAACAATATTGGCCTTATCACACTGAGGAAATGGGAACCAAGTGCTCCCCCCCCTAGTATACACCGTCACGAGATGGCCTAGGATGACCATCGGATTAAGAGTTTCCCTAAAGACAAATTACAACTAGCCTCTTCTTTATTCAATGTAGTTCCTGTAACAAATCTATAATTCTTGTTCAGTTTCAGCTTAAGGAAGCTTTGTGATATGTAGAGATGACTATGCACTATGGTTGCAATTGCCCTAAACAGGATACTTATAAGTTTAACATCGAAAGTGTGACTATGTACCAGAGGAAAGCCATTACAGGTCTTTTTGAGTGATAGGTATTTATACAAACGCAGACCAGCACTAGAAAAGTGCTTATTTATCAGCCAATTCAGGTTGTGTGCTCCTCGTGTCTCGATCACATAGCAGCTTTCGAATTTGAACAGCTTAATTTTGACTGGATGCGGTGACTTGCCGTCGTATCCAATGAAATTCACAAACCCGAAGCTCATTAATATCTGCTCGATATGCCAAGGTGTAGATAGGGTTATCGGAACCTAGGCTAGCGAATACGCGATTGGCGTTAAACTCAAACTATGTCAAGATGGACGTACGTTTGTACAACTTCAGTTTCAAAGGCATTTTATATGGAGGTGTTTGTTTCAGAATTTCTAATGAATGGTGATTTTCGATCAATTTGAATGGAAAACGTCTTTGTGGTATGATCTCTGACCAGTACCATTCATTCCATATTATATTTAGCTGCAAGAACATACTGTCACATAAGCAGCCATATTGAACCAAGAAGTTCAAAGTTCAAGACACTGAGCAGATACATTAACACAGATAATGGACCCTTCAGTTACAGGAGCATATGTCATAACTAGCTTAATGAAATGAAGTCTCCAGTTATTTATTCCCATTGCTGAATCAGTCAATCACATTCTACCCCTCCGCATGGCATGCATTGTACTGAAATAACATTACAGTTTGAGCAGTACCGTGTCCGCATCCAATAGGGTACCCGTGGTTCTATTCAGAATTAAAGAGTTATTGGACACTATCATACATAACCATATATATATATATATATATATATATATATATATATATATATATATATATATATATATATATATATATATATATATATATATATATATATATATATATATATATATATATATATATATATATATATATATATATATATATATATACATACTTATGTATGTGAGTGTGTGTGTCTATTCGCCTTAACAATCAAATATATCACTATATTCAAGTACTATGTAAATCTTTGTTATCAGCAAAATAAAATTATATAAATAAGAATTCAAAATTTGGGTGTTCTTCATATTTCCTTTAAGATCCCGCAAAAAAATGTTGCACTGACATTCAGTGGGCCCACGCCATCCTATCCAAAAAAAAATTGGTAGGCTGAACATTGTGCCAGTGTTTTTACTTTCTGCGATAGGTAGACCTTGATAGTTTCTGGAACAAAACGCTATTTAATACGGACGACATTCATGACAATTATCTGACGTTGGGGTCAAAGCATGATATTGCGTCGAAGTACCTATTGATCAAACGTATCAGAGCAAGGCATAAATAATTTACTTTGTCATTGTAATGAATTCGTGTCTAAAAGTGCAAATACTTCTTTAAAGGCCAAGGAAAAGAGTAATTAAAAGAACCAGTTCTAACATAGATCGTGAAAGATCAGGAACAAAAGAAAAGAAAGCAAGGAAAAGAATGTGTGATGTAATTTCGATTTTTAAAGATACCTGTAAGACCTGTTTAATCATTTTGTAGTGGTTGTTTAGTCATATCCCAGTTTATCGTGATGTCTAGCACTGGGGCATCATGTCGCAGAAATGTAGAATGATGTCCCATCCAAACACTTCATTCTGTTAACAGGTCGACCAGTCCTAATAATAACTTCTTAATACTGAGCGCATATCGATGCATTTGTTAGTACCAGTTTTGTAGGTCTTTCTTATCACTCAGTAGGGGTTCGAACCCACGACAACCCTGGTCTGAGGTGGACGCTCTAACCACTAGGCCACCCAGCGGTCGCAAGGAAAAGAAAGGGATCGGATAATGAAACTTCAGCTAGAGAAGTATATGAAACAAATGAAAGAAAAACAGGCGCATACATAAAAAAGTCAAAAAGAAGCAAAAGGTTGAAAGAAAGGTGAATTCTCCAAAGTGAGAAACAGGCAAATATTCATCACATGTGCAGTAATTCACAAAACACACACACACACACACACACACACACACACACACACACACACACACACACTAAAACGAATCTTATTTCTTCTTCAAAACATAAGTTTAATCTCGATGCGCTATTCATTCGAAGCAATACCTTCTCATCTTTTCCATGCACTTTACGGAGCATGAGACTGAATGAGAATCTAATAGGGTCATTCAGTCTACAGATGTAAATTATGTCTGTAGCCTAATACAAGCTTTTTTGATGATCTGAAGAGGTTTCTAATATCTCACCCGTACACACAAACCATCGTAAACAAGTCTATAAATAGAGACTAGCAATACTTTTTTTTTCTTCTGGTATTTTGTTTTCACTTAGTATGTGGTCATGTTCGGTAAAGAAACACAAAATGAAATTTGAGATAATGTAAGTGATGAACGTGATATTTATATAGAGTCAGTTACCAACATGGCATTCCGTTGATCTGAACATGTCGCACATTGCACCATCTAGAACCTGACCACTGTACGACGTGTCAGTAAATAAAAAAAACTTGGTATAATGTCATAAGATACCTACAGATGTGTCAGCCATCATAGCACCTAACACATCAATGCATCTATTTTACTTCATTACATGTACAATCATGAGTTTAAGAGTTTTATCCATAATTAACCACCTCATGGAAGTACTTGACAGACAAAAATCACGTTTCTTTTAAGCTGTTTAAATGAGTATCATATTTATTTATTTCAAACATTGTAGTACGTTATTTGTCACATTCACGGAATCTCCGAATATATATCCATGTTCTATAGTTAGAGTCTATTACGACATTAGCACGTGTTTCTTTTTTTGTTTTTGTTTAAAAAGTACAATGCTTCTATAATATGCCATGCATTCCATTTACTGCTTTGAAAGATTAACGTGTGATTTTGCATTGGTTCAGTAAAATTGTGACATAAAGTTTGAAGTCTCTAATTCGTTTCTTGGCTATAATCCAATTGATTCTACAAGTATTTGATGTCAGTAACAAATTGTTTTAAGAAATAAAAGTCGAAAAAATGCCCTTATTTATTCTAGTGTTATTTAACATTAATGAGCATGTGATAAATGCCATTATTGTTTAACGGTCACTATATGCTTTGCTTGTGAAGGTACAGTTTCCCATTTTAGAAGAAAGGGAGGAAATGTAAATCAATATCCATGTTATATCAGTCCGCAGTATGTCCTCTAACAATTATTTATGGAAGTTCTGGCAGGTGGACGTCTTGCTGTCTAAAAATAGCTTGATAAATTTACGACCTTGCCATAAATAAAGCAATGACGAACAAAAACATGAATTATTTCCTGTTGTTCTTGTATCCAAATGATTGCAATTTCTGTCTCAGGAAACTAACTTAAATTCCTATCGTTGTATACACAATGCTGCATAACCATACACATGACTTGCAACACAAACTTAAAAATGTTTCAATTAAATAAATAAAGGATCATGCATATATAATAACTTTATTTTTCTTACGATATCAATTCAGCTTTTTGTCTGTGACAATCTTTGATAGCTCAAACAACTGGATGAATGATGCACTTACTGGTAGTATCTGTATCGTACCTTAAGTTCATACACTTATTAGTTATAGGAAATTGTATACGCATACGTATTTTGAACGCCACATTGAACCACTATACACCATACTGTATTTAAACCGGTTGCCTAAATTACTAAAATATTCTTATTGTAATTTAAAACCAAACTTATGAAACGAGGAGAATATGTTTTATTTTTATGATATAGTGCAAGATGAACATAATTTTATATCTACAGTTCAAACAGCAAATTAATTTTTAAATTGTTTATATGCCCCAGTCAGTATCTTTAGAGAATGGTGGTTCTTACGCAACCTATAGTATCTTTCTTCTTCAGCCCTTCCACATTTTCTTTCTCAAATGAGATGCCATAAATAGTGTTGACAAAGTTTCTCCAACAATTTAAATATAAGTTGATAGAATTGTAAGCTATCGAAATAGTTTTATAATTCCTATAGTCAGAAATACTATGTACATGAACATTTAAAAACTATTTTTTGGTAAAAAGCAACTAATTTTCTGTAACTTCAACTTCAGTATGAACCATTTTTCAAAATTTTCAAATATTACTTTCTAGTAATTCCTTATATTCAAATTTTAATTTCCAATAATTCACAATTGGTCTCCATTGCAACAGTATTAAACAAATTTTTGAAAAGTCCGTGTAATATTGAAAACATTTTAGTTCACTAATTCTCCTATTAGATCTTACAAGTGTACAATTTTATGACAGTTAAGCATCTGTATAAAATATTGTATACTGTAACAGTCTTCTTAACACCGGTGATGCAACTTAAGGGACAAACTTTAAAACATAGTTAACATGTCTGTAACATAGATATGACATTTTGACAGGGAACTAACGTGGTAATGTTGCTTTGTTGGTGTAGGTTTAATGTCACTTTTTTTTAGCAGAGTCTAGGCTATGCATGGCGGCCAGAATAATTAGTGGAGAAAAAACCCTGGAAAACCACGTAAGAACCATCGACCCACATGATGTTACGGACAAGATTTCTCACGAACTCACATTTGCCGAGCCCAAGACTCAAACCCACGCGGACAGAGGTAAGATGACAGTGATCGGTAAAGTTGAGCGCTTTTGGTCACTCGGCCACCCGCCACATGCAAACCCTAACCCCCATATGGTAAATAATGTGTCCTACATTTAAATAAAGTATAATAGCTATTACAGCAGAGTTCAACTAATAATAGTAAATTTTCAAAATCATGCCAAATGTTTCATAGTTCGCAAATTAATTAGACAATTCTTGTATCAGATTTAACTCCAAGAAAAGATTATAAAATCAAAAATACGATACCAGTATTATATAATTGGTGATGACAATGATTTCGTTCAACAAACAATTTTACAATAAATATTAATCATACAAGTGAAATTCAAATTTCATGAAAATATCCATTCCCTTTTTAACTAAATTTCGATATGACGACACTTACAAATTGACCTAACTATAAATTTCAACAACCATTAAAATGAATAAATCGTTAAAAAGCAGTATATATATATATATATATATATATATATATATATATATATATATATATATATATATATATATATATATATATATATATATATATACATATATATATATATATATATATATATAGTTATATATAGTTATATATAGTTATATATATATAGTTATATATATATATATATATATAGTTATATATATATATATATATATATCATTTATTTGTTTTAGGAATTTTTGTCCGATTTAAAATAAGGAGAACTAAATATGTAATTACATTTATTAAATAAATAATTTTCTAATTATGTACACAATCGTTTGTTCCTTAGGAGGTTAAAAACTTGTAAAGTTTCATTTGGCAAAAGAGAGTTTGAGGTTCTGAATTTAAAGTAAACTGATGAAAAACATTTTTGGTAAAGAAAATGTAAATACTCTTCAAACCGAAACGTTATTTTAGAAAGCCCATTTTGTGTTTCTCTTGCTAGATAAATTATTGTTTTCATTTATTGTTTAAAAAATGTACTTCACCTTTTTACGATAATTCACTGTTTATTAGTAAAAGACTTTACATCCAGTTTATAAGGCACAAGGTGTTGGACCTAGGAATGTCTTGGCTTACAAAAAAAAAACCGGTCGTAAATGGTCTGTCACAGAACAACTATATAAATTGCACCTAAATTCAAGACTAGAACAACCAAATTATAGAGCAGGAGTTGGTAATTGTCTTATTTTTCCACGAAAATATATCCACGATGTGCAATTGTTAAAGATATTATCTTGGGTTGAAAGAAAAGGCAGTGGTATGACAATCATTAACAATCTGGAAATAAAAACCTTACCTGTTTATTAATTGTTGTCGTTTCCAGCTCCAGTGTCTGTCATGCATATCTGTGCATATTTAATTCTCCAATATTAAGCAATTTCTCTTTATATGACGCCTGTTTGGGCATGATTATGAGTGTATTCCTCTAAAAACAGTAAAAAAATAACACCAAAACTACAATAGCCTTGATAACATTTTAAGCAAAACAAGACATCACGTTCTATTACATTTGTTATCATTGTAGTCGTAAAATTGTGCAGTTAATGCGAGATACGTTAAATGTGTCTATGTGTTGTAATTATTTCCTCGTGTTTGTAATGATTTGTTATGTTTTTTGTATATGCTAATATCAAAAGCAATCAATGCTTCAGACGATATGAATCACGCACTACTTGACAATAAATGCCAAATGGCTATTTATCAGACCAAAAATATTTACCACAATTCACTATCTGGAATGTTGTTGGACAAGATAGCACAAACCTGGGGCAAAATAAAGTTAACATGCACTTTATATAGTCTAGAATGCGCACTATTCAAATCATTCGTTGTCTTGCTATCACTGTTGTAGTAAATTTAAATGAAATATTGAGCAGTGTTGAAAAAATATATCACTTTGGAATTACTCTTTTCCATTTCGAAAAAATATATGCTCTTATATGTGTTATTCAAAAGTTGTGTATTCATGTTTATGACTCTCTCTCTCTCTCTCTCTCTCTCTCTCTCTCTCTCTCTCTCTCTCTCTCTCTCTCTCTCTCTCTCTCTCTCTCTCTCTCTCTCCACCAGGATGTACTAATCTTATCATATTTCAACTGTAGACCCTGCAGAGCATATTTATGCAATAATTCACCAAGAAATGCCTAAAACAAACTCCAAACAGCAACAAGAAGACTTCAGTTATTAACTATATTATATAAGTTTACTCGACGCATCATATAA